AATGTTTCGGAGTGTTCTATGGTCTGCTGGGGTAATAATATAGTGTAAAGCGCATAGAGCCTGCTGTTGAGCGGGGATATGCGCTATACAAATGCTATCTATTATTATTATTATTATTATAGTTTGCTGATGGGCCGGAGTACAACTTTGTCTACCACTATAGACCGTCTTCACTGTACTGAGTGGCTTCCCGTTTGGTTTGCTTCTTTTTCTTCATTTCATGACAAGGCCTACTGCAGCTCTAGTCTTGTGATGGTGTAATGTGGCTGTTGTTGTGGATAACGATTACAGCTGCAGTAACAGAAAAGCAGGAGGAACGACGACAACAACAACGACAACAGTAACAACAGCCACAATTACATCAACATCACCATCAGTAACAACAACATCAACAGAAACAGCATCACTTAAAACAAATCCAATAACAACTCCATCATCAACAGCAACAAAAATTACAATAACATTCTTGTTAGGAGGAGCCCATGTTTGAGATTATATAAATATCATTGTGTTCTTCCGTTTCAACTTTACTTGATATTAATTCAATGTAGATCGAGCTGTACTCAAGGTTCATATTATCACAGACAAACCCGTGTTGAATTTGGCACTGAACATAATTATGCGTCTTCAACTGTCGGTACAGAGCCAAGCAACTACAGTTCACCGACGATTTTTACTGTTTTTGTTTGTTTGTTTGTTTGTTTTGGCTTTTAAATTTTAAAGAATATTTTTTCGCGTTTGGCCAATTTCGTTTCCCGCGAACGGTTTGAATTTGTTTTTTAAATCGTCCAGCTTCATGCTTTATGTGTTTTAAGCTCCATAGCTCTATGATAATATGGCATAGATCTAGTAATAATAACAGTGCCTCTCTGAACATTAAATCTGACAGAATCAAGACTTCAAGTAGCGCCCGGAAAAAAACCTAAACAGGTAGGTGTATAGGTCTACAGTGTAATATTATAAAGTTGGCAATTTTATTATGACCCAATAAAGTGAGAATTCCTCTATGACCAAGGGCAAAAAAGTTCCTTTTGGTCCACTAGTGAAAAAATATAAAAAATGGGTCCTTTTTAACCTGCTGTGTTCTCCAATATCTTGCTTTATTTCAGAATCGAATTGTCGCGCTGCTCTTCAGTTCACCAAAATATAACCTTCAGAAATAGATTGAAACTTTCTGAAGACCTGCTGAGTTTCGGTTTCCCTTTGCCCACCACAGGGAAGTTAAAGTAGGACTTCGAGCTTTATAAACGTTTTGGTTTTATATCTTTTTGCCCCCCCCCCCTCCCAGGCCCTTTCCTCCTCCTCTGGGCTCCTGACTCTTTCTGCTGCCGTTCCACTGCTACTACTTGACTAATTCTCACTCCTAGCTGTCTTTCAGCCACACTCCTAATCTTAGGGTAGGTAAGATCTAACACCTGGGCTTTTCGGATAAGGGCGGAACAATCTCGGAAGTCCTGTGTGCAAGTTGCGCGCTTTAAAGAGCCCTTGAGGGTCCTACAATCGATTAGAGTAGGACTCGGCCGCTACCTGAGCAAAATTCAAAATTGATTCCTACCAAACTGGAAATGTTTAATGTGTCCCACGCACACATATTATATGACCTTATGTAGTTGTGAGCGCCTTAAAATATAAAAAAGTGACAAAAATAAATAAATAAATTAATTAATTAATTTTTTAAAATACGAATAATTTTGCAGCTTAGTCATAATGTTAATTTCTTTTGTTTGCCCGCTTCTTAAACAAACAAACCCTTTGGAGCACCCTTGATAGTGTGTACATAATGTGTAAATAAGCCATTCTCTCTCTCTCTCTCTCTCTCTCTCTCTCTCTCTCTCTCTCTCTCCCCCTCCTTTCTTCTCTCTCTCTCTCTCTCTCTCTCTCTCTCTCTCTCTCTCTCTCTCTCTCTCTCTCCCACCTTTCTCTTTGAGACAGCTTAAAAAACACAGCCCTGGCAGAACAAAACATTCTCAAAAATAAGTAGGTGTTTTCAGGTTTTTAGCGGGTTCTCATGGTCTAGAGGTTAATTACGGTGTTTGCTTCTCATTAAAAGGTCCCCGGTTAAAAAACCTGACAGCGACGGACACTTTTTTTTCTCTAACATTTTCTCCTTTCATCACCTTTCCTCTCTTTAACCATCTTCTATCGTCAGCTTTCGTCTCCACTTTCTGCTCCCTCCTCCCTCCTCCCCTCTCCTTGCCCTCTCCTCTGGGCTCCTGACTCTTTCAGCAGCCTTTCTACTGCTACTCCTTGGCTCTTAATCTTACTGCTGACTTTCAGCCACACCCCTGATTTTATTGTAAGTAATAATTAACGCCCAACCTTCTCGGATAAGGACAAAACATCTAGGACGTCCCGCGTGCAAGTTGCGCACGTTAAAGATCCCTGGGGGTCCTAAAATCAATATGATTAAACTTTGGCCACCAACCGGGCAAAATTCAAAGTTCTTACCAAACTGAAAATGTGTAAAGTGTCCAGTCCAGTGCACTCACATGACGTTATGCAGTTGCCAGCGCCGTAAAACACTTATCAAAAGAAAAAAAGTTTTGAAGGATTGATTTTTTTCTCCCATTCGTACTGACCAGGTTGTATTTGGGGAAGCAATGACTATATAAGTGTATTTCACCCGCACTGGCGGTTAAACGAATTCACCTGCTCAATTGGTCCAAAAGGGATTGAATATTAACATTTGATAACCTGGTAGAAAAGAAAGGGACACAACCCTAAAGTAAATGCAAACGAATGCAACCGTTCGAAATGTTTGTATCTTGTTGCCATTTGTCTGCATAGAATAACACTTAATATTTTGCCAAAGATGATAATTGTGAAATGAATATGTGGTAAGCTATACAAATGCTATGCACTCACTTCATCCCAAGGCGACCATTATACTGCCTTTTACTCTCTACCATAATCGATAGATTATTTCAACAACCCAACATCGGGGAGCTCTCGTGGCTTAGAGGTTAAGGTGTTCGTCTCTCATTCAAAGGTCTAAGGTTCGTATCCGAGTGACGGAAAAATTTTCTTCTCTAAAACTGTTTCTTTTCACCTCCTATCCTGCTCTCTAGCAATGTTCTGTCGTCTGCTTTTGTCTCTACTTTCTGCCCTCACCCCTCACCTCCTTTGCCCCCTTCCTCTGGGCTCCTGGCTCTTTCTAGCAGCCTTTCAACTGCTACTTCTTGGTTCCTTCTTGCTGTGGTCTTTCAGCCTCACACCGGATCTTCTGGTAGGAAAGATCTAGATTTACACCTAGCCTTCTCGGACAAGGATGAAAAATCTCGGGAGGACCCGTGTGCAAGTTGCGCACGTTAAAGATCCCTTGGCGGTCTAAAATCGATAAGAGTAGGCTTTGGCCACCACTCGGGCAAAATGCAAAATTTCCTACCAACTTAAAATGTTTAATGTGTCCCGCGCGCTGATATGATCGTATGCAGTTGCGAGCGCCGTAAAACACGTAGATATATCTCC